GTGTTCTGATGTCCACTGTAGTGGACATGTGATATCTCAAAAATAAAAACTTATTAAAAAATAAATAATAATTCAGTATTCTAATAATCTTGCAAAGATTGTGGAATTTAAAAGAATGGTAATTGGACAATATTTTTTCCCCTGGTAGTCAGGAGGGTATTGTTATATTTCGATCATGAGATCCTATATTTCTAGACACCCTCATCTATAGAGCCACCCTACTTGGCTGCCAAATCCAAGCAGTGTACAGGCAGAACATTCTGCTGGAGAAGCCCACGTCTTGTCATGTTTTTATCTGCTACTGATAAATACAGTATTAGATAGAACTAAAGCATTTTCACATCTGTGTGTAATTTACTTTACGATTTGGATTTCAGTGCAAAACGACCGTCAGGTAAACTCTGTTTCGGGTCACTTTGACACGAAGTTAACACAAGAGTTAAGGAGAGTCATAAACAAGACTCATAAAAATGAGGCCCACATTTAGTTTCATAGTAAATCTTATTGTCAATTTGATCAACTTAGTCTTTAGCAGAAAACACTGAAAATCACTGTGGTAATCATCAGACTTTCTCACCATTTCACCAATGCTTCCTTTTGGACCTCTGTGACCCTGAGGGGGGRAAAAAAGAATTTCATGAGATCCTACTTCCATACAGGTTATACTGCACACAGCCAGCGATAAAATGGTTTTATAGAAAGTGAATACTAGAATTTATGTTGCAATAATTTTTAATAATGCACTTTAAACACAAGTGAAACCTACAGGCTTCCCAACTGGACCAATCCTTCCTTCGGGGCCTACAGGTCCACTGAAACCCTGAAAGACATGGTCAGATTGTATGTCAGGTAGTTATTTTATCACAWGAGCTCTCAATTTTTTGTGAGCGTTTTTGTGGGAGATTTATTTGAACAGTCATAATATGGCTTAGTTGTAGTTATGGTTCAGACAGTCTTATATTTCATTGTTATCTCTGTGTCAGTAATCACACACACACACACACACACAAAAATACATAACCAAACAGACCATTTCTTCATAAACAAACTTTTTTCATCACTTTGGTAGACTTTCTGACTCCACGCAAAGTATCTCTGGAACGTGATGGCATTGGATTGACCATAAAATTTTCTGTTATTCCAAAAAATAATAATAAATAAATAAATAACTTGCTTAGTTCAATTGATAATTTTCTACATTTCTATTCAACGAGGAATCAAATAAATGATAGTGACAGATTTTTGAAGCATGTTCAAGAACTTGGATTTGAAAAAAGCCTTACCATGTGAAGAAAATATGGGGCACCAAGAGTACCAAAAATGTCAAACACATTTTCATTATTTAGCTCACTGCTCTTACATGTTGCTAATTTTTCTAAATGTTCAATTTAAATGTTAAAAAATAAATGCAAACAATAAATACAATAACTAAATGCGTAAATCTAAATGTAAAAGTTAAATCTTAAATGTTGAAGTTGTTTAYRTTTAAGTATTTCGGAATGGAATGCAGCCAGATTTATCGCAGGTTTGGCAAACGTCAACGCTAACCGCTGCTAACGTTTCTATTGCTGCTGAAGATAATATTTAAAATCTAAACTCAAAATAAATCATTGAATACAATACGGATGATACCTGTGGTCCGGCATTTTAAAGTGCAGCTCAGACACAGGCTGCAACTGCAAGTTTGATGTCTTGTATGGAAGCGATAGCAGTGCTAGTAGCGTTAGCGATTAATATTGTCTCAGGATGATGATGTAATAACAAGAGTCGAGCCACAACAGCAAAGGCTGCATTCCATTTCTAATACTTAAATGTAAACTTCAATATTAAACCGAAACATTTAACTCAACCTATAAATCAACATTTAAAATTTAACTTTTACATTTAGATTTAGGATTTTGTATCTAGGCTTACATTTTTTTTTAGCATTCGTAAAAATCAGCAAACTGTAGGAACAGTGAGCTAAATAATAATAAAATGAGCTAAATGATGAAAAAGCATTAGTGACATTTTTTTAAAGGGGCAAAATTATGTGGTATTATAAGGTATTTTTAATCTGAAAAGAGTTTCACTGAGTGAGAACTAAGGTTAGGAGCTCCGCAGACAGTTTAAGTTTCACTTTCATTTTCACCCGAGATCCCACAGGAGTCATGGGCGGGGTATGTG